TATGCGTTTTTTGCAGCTATGCAATGCAGAAAACGCATATTGACGAGAGGTTGTCTGTGTGTGCGCTGGGCGTCTGTACCGATTTTTCATCTCGAGACTTACAAAAGCTATAGGGTTGGAACTTTGGTAACTTAAAGTACATGCATGTTTGGGCCCCATCCCCAAAATGGGCAGTCTTACCCGCGTGGTACCCACTTACGGGCCCGTGAAAGTCTTTTGCGGGTAAGTCGCTAACTCGGGAGCCAGAAAAGCTAAAAACCTAAAATTTTAAGGGGATGTTCCCCGTCCAGGCAGGTATTAATATGCTCGAAACCAACTTCTGAGTATGCGTGGTACCCATATGCGGACCCGTGTAATTTTTTTTTTCGGGTACGTTACTAACTCGGGAACCTGAGAAGCTAGAAGACTGGAATTTTAAGGGGATGTTTCCCGTCCACGTAGGTCCTAATGAGTTCAAACCTTGCCCGCGGGCATGCGTGATCCCTATTTGCCAGCCCATGAAAGTTTTTTTGCGGGTAGGTCAGTAACTCGGGAACCTGAGAAGCTAGAAGGCTGGAGTTTTAAAGGGATGTTCCCCGCCCAAATAGGTATTAATGTGCTCAAATCCAACTTCTGAGTATGCGTGGTACCCATATGCGGACCCATGGAATTTTTTTTCGGGTAAGTTGCTAACTCAAAAATCTGAGAATCTAGAAATCTGTAATTTTTAGGGGATGTTCCTCGTCGACGTGAATCCCAGTGAGTTCATAGCCAGCTGTCGGGTGTGCATGGTTCCTATATATGGGTTCGTGAAAGTTTTTTACGGGTAAATTGCTAATGCGGGAACCAAAAGCTGGAAAGGTGGAATTTTAAAGGGATGTTTTCTGACAGTCCCGGCGGCTAGTCTCAGTTCTTCTGGCTAGAAGCATCTGCCGGAAGAATCGGTACCGGTAGCGAGAAGAACTGCGGGGAACTGTGCAAAAAACGTGTTATCGTATCGGCAGCCGGTGCGTTGGCCAGTTATTTTAAACCCCTTCTGCTTTTGCCGACAATTGTAACTGTCGAAATTTTCCTTCGGCCTCCTTCTAATATGCTTGCAAAGAGGGGAATACTCCAGTGGTTTGGATATTATCCTTTTTGTGCGTTTTTGGCGTGTAGCGCTAGAGCACTGTAACAGACAGCAAAAACGCATATTGCAACGACGCTCTCAGTGTGTGTATGTATGGATGTATGTATGTGTGTGTTCGTCTGTCTGAGTGTTTCAACTCACCAACCATGCGAACTTTGAAGCTGAAATTTTGCCAGAGTGTTCCGCGGCTAAGTGTCACTTCAGGACCGCGGTATCAATCCCCACGCACGCCTGGGCCCCGTGTACGAACACGCGAAGGTTTTGACGGGAAAACTGCTAACTCGGGAACGAGAAAAGTTAGGAAGCTGGAACTTTAGGGTAATGTTACCTACCCATGTATGGACTAAAAGATTTCAAATTCAGCTGCTTTGGGCTGCCCGGAACTCAAGTACGAGTACGTGAAAGCTTTAGCTGAAAAATTGATAACTCGGGAACGGGAAAAGCCGGAAAACTGGTATTTTAAGGGAATAGTCCCTATTGAAGTGCGATTAAAAGATTTCAGATTCAACTGTTGTAGGGGGATCTTTTTCGCGTGCCAGCAACTTTCCATTTGTTGGGCCACTGAAGCCAACATCTACTACTGACATGCCACATAGCTGCACAGTTAACTTCCCGATCTTCGTGGGCCAATATGTTACTCTAGCTATTGTGATTCCTCATGTTTTTGCTATAGCACAAAACAGTGCAAAAACGCATGATCGCACCGGTCGGTTTGGTGCGTTCCAGCCTAGGTTCATCTTTCTGCCCTTCTCTAGCAGTATTTTTATAGCTGCGAAGACCCCCGTATTTGACTGTCAAAATCGAGCGCATTGGGCTCGTTTGTTGCGCTTAAGAAGCTTGTCAGCAAGGCATTTGTAGTCCCGGCCAATATTCACCGTCATAGATCAGACATTCTCGACTTGTCGTTTCATCTCCTCACTGTCGATTTCTCTAGGCCTGTTACCTTGACTTGCCATATGCAATACTCTTCTTTTCTTGAGTTGAGATGATGCATGTTTTAGACCACAGCATGCTTTGGTCGTTTCCTGTATTAAAGGAAAATATTATGAAGATGTTCTTAAGAATGCGCCAAGCGCTGACTAAGATAAAATCTACTTCATTTTTCTTTTTTTACACTTGACGTAATCCAAGTCCATCTCCGCACATTTGCGGAACCAGATACTGCCAACAAACAGTTTGGTCATCTCCCCCATTGTAGCTGTTCTGTCGCCTCTGTCGTTCCTCATTTAGAATCTCATTTATAAAGCATGAAAACTAAGAGTAAACCCAGGCTGAAACGCACCAGGTGAGGCGGTGCGATCATGCGTTTTTGCACTACGCTTGAACTAATTAGGTTAATTGCGTGAACGGTTGTTCCTTCACACCTACCTTGTCCACTCAGTACCGTAAATCACCGTAAATTTTGCATAAACGGAAATAAACAAATTCCATTTTGCGGCCGTTTTTTAAAAATGACCCAGCTGTTCAGTGAGTAATTTCCTCGCCAAAAATTTAAGTGCCTGTACACGAGAACCACGCGTACCTGGAACCTGAATTTGAAACCTTTAATTTGTATTTGGATGGGGAGTATTCTCCTAAAATCTCAGCTTTCCGGCTTTTCTGGTTCCCGAGTTCACTTTCACAGGGCCGCACGTGGCCTGGGAGCATACCTGGGGGCCGAGTTTGGAATTTTTAACTTGTATATAGGCTGGCAACATCCTTTGAAAAATTCAGCCTTCCAGCTTCTCTTGCTCTCAAGCCATTATCGCGCCAAAAAAGTATCACGGGGCCGCGGGGACCCCGCATGCCTGGGAGCTGAATTTGATAACTTTAAGTCGTACATGGGCTGGGAACATCCCCTGAAAATTCAGCCTCCCAGCTTTGCTAGTTCCTGAGTTAGCCATTTTCTCACCAAAAAATTTCACGGGGCAGTACGTGAGAAACATGTACGACTGGGGGCTGAATTTAATAGATTTTTGTTATACTTATGCTGGGGACATTTATTGAAAATTTCAGCCTCCCGGCTTATCTGGTCCTCAGGCTAGCGATTTTCGCGCCAGGAACCCTCATGAGGCTGTACGTGGGAACCAAGCACATCTGGGGGCTGAATTTGAAATCTTTGAGTTATATGTGGACGGGAAACATAACCTCAAAATTTCAGCTTTCTATCTTTTCTCGTTCCCGATTCATCAATTTTTCCGCCGAAACTTTCATCCTCTCGTACGCGGAGCCCAAACGTGCGGTACCGCGGTTCTGAAGTAACACTTGGCCAGGGAAGCAATTGGCAAAATTTTGGTGCCGGAGTGTGCTTGGTTGCCGAGTTGAAATACCCGGACGGACGAACACACACACAGGCAGGATCGTCGCAATATGCGTTTTTGCAATTTGCATATAGGCAAAAACGCTTAAAAAGGCGCAGTAATTACGACTTATAAGAAATTTAGTAGTGCTTTGCTTTACGCCTTTGCCAGTTCTTATGTGAACTTGTCGAGAAGGATAATTCCTCTGTACGACTCAGTGAGGGGAAGGAGGTCATCGATATTTGGGATGTACATCCAATCGTCGAGGAGGAAGTCCGGTATACATCCGAATTTTTTTACTGAGGTACAAAATTGTACAGAAAATGAAAAAAATATTTATAGTTCATCAACAATTACTGCGCAACTCACCAAGAAGATATGCAGAAAACATTGGCATTCTTGGATTCGGAACGTGGAGCCAAGATTCTTAGACCATACTGTATCCGTTATGGCGGTTAGTCCTTTGAATTGTTAGTTAAATATCCATTTTTATAGGTGATATCTTATGCCGTGCTAATGATTCAAATTTTCTAGCTTAGTTGTATAGCAGGTATGTTTTTCTTACAGTTCTTTATATTAATGATATAATATTTATTGATATTTTGGGCCAGAACTTTAAAAAAGCAGCCAAAGATAGTCTTTTCATCTGATAGTTGTTGTTGACAGTCTGCTACCTTCTAAATTCCGAATACTTCTACTTCTCAATGAAAAGTGAGGATTTGAGTGTGCTGACAAAGCTTCCAGAGCTTTTCATTTGATGAAGATTTAGAATTTAAGTTCTCGTCGCGTCGAATTATTGAATAATGATGACTTTTGATCTATAAACTTCCATACATCCTGTCCTGCTAGTGTAATATTTAGTGCAGTACCACTAAACTCAGTGCTTAAGTTACCTCTGAGTAAAAACGAATAAATGATGTAAGGTGTTTTAGTTCATTCGGTTCGAAATTTTTATTTTAAGCATTTTTTTCTCAAACATTTGTTAACTAGTCTTCATAATTTAGTAACATACCTGTGCTTCCTTCAGCGTCCATGTTAACGCCGTAAGTTGATGGTACAGACCGCTTTGTCGTATGGTGGATTTAAGTATATCTTATTTATAGATTTGGATAAGCTGTTTTATATTCTTGTAAAATGGGCTTCTTCTCATGGCGTTTTGACAGAACATTTGGAGGAGACGCAGCTTTGCCTATTGTTTATAGAATTCGGCCTTGCTCGCTGTGTGGAATTATTTAAAATTGAAGAATTAGAGGTGAGCAGTTTTGAAAATCATTTGTTCTGAAAATGAAAAAAAAAGAAATTTATCGCACTTCATCATCAGGGAGGGTTGGGATGTCTTCGTACTTTTCTTGTACAGTAAAACATGCAAAACATCTGAGGTTTTCTTCAGCAAAGGAGCAATATTGTCTTTCTTTCTAAAAAGAGGAAAATATAGCCTTTTTTTAAATGACAAAAGCATACCAATTACAAATATTCTTTCCACCAGTAGATTTTTTAAAAAAAAACTTGAATTTTCATTCTTCAGTACGAAAAACTCCTTGTGGCTCTAAATGTATATTTTTCATAAGAGCGTGGATGGCCTTTATGGAAATTTATGCGAACTTAATGGAAATTCCTTATGATGATTTTGGATAAGTGGCGTACAGGAGGGCTTTGTTTGTGTAGGTGAGAGTGCCATGTAGATTTATCTCACTGAATGCTTCATTAAATGCTGAGGCTTACATCGGTAATTTAGAAGACAGGTAGTGTAACTTTGTCAGACAGATTGGAATTTGATTTTCAGTTTTTAAAATTAAAAAAAGCGTAATCACTGCACTTTTAGGCGAAAAAAGTGGTTGCAAGTCCACTCGAATTCTGCAATTTGAATTTTGTTTTTGGTGGAATTGGTAAATGTCTGCTGGAATTTTTTAAGTATGTCGGTTCTCGAGCGTTCAAACTGCTGCCTGCTATCGACCTTTGCAGTAGCGGATTTTGGTCATTATTAGTTCGAGGGCAGTGGTTGGAGTTGCACAAAGTACGTAGGACTTTCAGTTTGATTCTTTGCTTCCGAAATTATCGCATGGTTCATTTGCCGACACCAGCGCTTTTTATGCGTTTTTTGCAGCAATGCAATGCGAAAAACGCATATTGACGAGAGGTTGTCT